TTACTCATTAATACATTTACTATTTTATTGAATGTTTAAATCCATTCATTGAAAAGACAGCCAAAAATGTAAACTCATATAAAGATACAAATAATCTGCATTTTGAAGGACACAACGTATGTCACAATTGGTTAGCTTTAAATTGAATTTAGACTTTATTGAGACAACAGGCATAGCATTCGCATCAGACGTTTGATTATGTGAATAATAAGTGGGAAATTGTTTTTTGTTATAAATTGGTAATCAAATTCAACTGTTCACTCGATATGGGATGTATCGGATCCACTCTTTTAGAAGCAAAACACCGATTGGCGGTGAAGAGAGCGAAACGGGATTTTCAAATACCAGACATTGTAATCGAGGAATATATTCCTCATATATCTGTTGATAAGCTGACAAAATCTAATAATGAAGACTATATATGGCTGACAGAGACGACACAATTGCCGGGCGAGTGGTTTGTCCACAACTGCAACAGCTCTGAAGCCGACTATTTTCTGCGCGACAAAGAAGACGGAACTTTCTTAGTCCGCGAAAGTACTCGATATAATGGACAATACGTTTTGGCCGTTTCTCTCAATTATTTTGTCCATCAATTGCTTATTCACAAGAGTGAGGATGGCTTTGGTCTCATTGATCCGGGAGTCCATCCGACACTATCCAGTCTTATCACTCATTACAGTCAAGTGTCGCTAAAGTGTAAGAACCCGCTGCTCGACGTTAAACTAGATAAAGGCGTCTTTCAATCCGATTAAACAACAAATCAATTCAAAACAATTGCTTTAAATTAAGAGTTGAATGGAAAATAATTGTTGCTTTTAATATTTTATTTAATGATTAAATAGGAGAGATATTTGCGATTCAATACATAGTTTTCATATTTTCTATTTTACTGTAATAGTTGTGTTAAAAATTGATCTCACATTTGGATATCAATACTATTTAATGATTTTCTCTGATATTTTGTTAACTTTGCATAAAATCTAATCAAAAATATTATTTAATTTAAAATAAAACATATTTATTGATAAAAATTGAAATACTGTTGAAAATGAGATAAATTTATGAATAACCGAAACGATTAATAGTGGATCGGATCCAAGGGGTGAATGAGCTAACTCTGGTGTAAACGTTGGGCAGTCTCTCGTCAAGACATCGCGACGAACCAAATGATACGAGACCTACGATAACACCTTTTTGGACCAGAGGTCCTCCAGAATCACCCTATCATCCAAATCATGACATCAATGGCAATAATAAAAACATCAAATTAATTATACATACATTACAAGCACTTCTAACTCGATCAAAAGCGCAGATCATATCATTGGTTATGGACACCGATGTACTCCATATATTAGAACACGTCCGCCGATTAACGACTGTCAGATTCGCCACTTTTAACGCATTGGACACACCATTGCTGGCCGAAGAAGTGCGACCCCATCCCGAGACAGTGACCACTGAGTTGGGTCGCGGATCGTATGATTGCAAGACATCCATCATCTTTGCGTTATAGCCAGCAGTCATTGGCGACGATAAAGTGAGAACTGCGATGTCATTAGTGATGGTTCTGGGGTTGTAATTTGGGTGAGGAATCGCATACTTCACACCAATAGTCGGACCAGAATTATACTGCAGAGTATTGTATCGCACTTTAAATTCTGTGTTACCGGCGCTGTCAGCGGTTAGAAAAAATTTTTTTATTCATATTTTTAAATATAAATTAAGTTTAATAACAAAATAAGAAATGAAGAAAATGACAGACCCATAGACACAATGGGCAGCAGTCAGTATAGCTCTGGAATCCACTATAACTCCACCGCAAATGAAATTATTGTTGGCCAGAAGTGCCACCTGATAGGCACACTCTCCCAGAAACGCTTCCCGACCGCCGATAACTCTCTCGTCTTTTATTTCTTCATCCCTTTCAGTGAGAGAAGGAATCAATTCATTGGTCGTTGAATTGGCTCCCAATGAATGAATTGTCAAACATATGATAATAAAACTGATTCTTAAGAATCCCATTATGTGTTTAAACTTAGATAACGTTACGCTCAGAGACAGACAAATTAAAATATAAAACATACAAATAATACAAGAATTGATTTTTATTCAGAATTCATTAAATAACGTGAAATTTTGTCACGATTTGTGACATATGGATCACAGACGAGATTATTTCCAAAGTGTGTCCTATTTTTGTATTAAATCAATCAAACGATTGGCAATTTTACAATAATTGCGATCAAATCGTGATATAAATGTCTGTCAGACACAAGAAAATACATAATAATTATTTGTGTCAATAATTCTGTGTTCCAAAACATGATTGTTTTTAAAAACTTTATTTATTAAAACATTAATAAAAAGATTGCATAAAATGATTTTAAAAAAAAGGTTTTATAAAGATATAGTAAACCAATACAAATGTAAATTGTATTTTAAAATCACAGATTAATGCCAGGATTCAGTAAATAGGTGTCCAACAGATTGTTGTGTATATTAAGCGATTCAATGTCTTTGTAATGATTGACCAAATCTTCCAATGAATTAAATATACGATTAGATGTAAACCCATAGCCAGTGCTGTATTTATTGATCAAACAGTGATAGATGTTTTGTTTAAATGCTATCGATAGGGCGTAACAACCGTTTTGGTTAAATAAACTACTTTTGCGAATAATAAATGTGCCGTTTTTAGCCGATTCAAGCAAAATGTGAGCATTATTTCGGTCGCAATCGTTTGAAAACCACATAGACTTATGCCATACAATATAATCATCTCTCAATTGATTTATTGCTGTCCTTTTTATCCCTTTCTTCGGTCTCTTATATGTCCTAAAGTTTTTCCCTTTTATTATCACAATCGGAGAAATGTGTTGAAAATCGTTATTTCGCTGACACTTGACTGACATTTCAGATTCGTTTGCATTTTCGGTCGACAACTCATTTATATATAATATATTTGATTTCAATTGAGAATTCATTTTTTAAAATGAAATTAATTACAAATATTATTAATCATTAATTAAATACACTTTAATATTGCTTTTCAATACATAAATAATTGCAAATAAATTATAAAACTTTTCCATACATTACTTGTTTGTTAAATATTGAACTAATCTTGAGTTTTATAAAGATATTCAATCGCTTTGAGTCTATAGGAAAACTACACCAAACCTTTTGACTACAGTACAGGTATATCCAAGTTTATAATTCCACTTTTAAAACTATTAAAAAGTTTACCAATATTGGTATTCACAAATTAAATTACAAAAAAATCTTATATTTGGTATAAAATTAATTAAATACTAATTTAGTAAGTGAAAGAAATGTATTATCAGTGATTTATATAGAGAATATAGACGTGATTATCACTGATTGAAATCTATTAGATGATTATCAAAGAGTATTTGGGCACACATTACACACAATGACCACTTTGTGTCCCTATAAGTGACTCAATTGCTATCAACGATACAAAAGTTTGAGCCGCTTTTTAAAGAGGGCCGACATCTGCCCGATAGACACACCGCGCAAACCCATAATGGGTTACCCATTGCCCTATCAATTGATACCAACACTAACCCATTGACAAGTATTGTTTGCCACAACTCATATCAATGTTCACTGTGTATGTGATGTGTGTCTGTCATCTAATTGAGCTATTGATTTAAGTGGACACAAAACTATGGTTAATTGTCACCACCGATCACCAAGTTCAGTTTAAAGAATCGCGATATCTTGTAGACAATTTACACGCTATTTCAATGCGCATATTCTACAAACAATTTACGTAATTTGTACTGCCATTGATTGACTCACGTGTTTGTGTTTACATAATTATTATAGCGTTTGAGAGAGTGTTGTGTTTAACGCAAAATTCAACGATTGTTTCGTTGCTTTTCATTATAATTAACATTAAATTCAATTGTATTTTGCAATGAATTTCATGAGAAATAGTTTAACGCAATGTCTGTTAAAATCAGACTTAAGTTCAGTGAAGATATTTGTCCGGCATTTCCAGAGAAGACAATTCATCCGCCGATTTGGTTACGTCCAGAAGACTCACAATAAAGGTATGCATTTGTGTTGTAGATTACGGTTCACTATAACGAGTGGTTCACTATTGACAGGACTATTACCGCGAGTGGTTGGAGATGTGGCCCCTTTGCGAACGGTTCCCAATACACGACTTGCCGACGAATGGCGACCAAAGGCAGCCCTCTTCGGCCAAAACGATTACATCGATATCTTAGGCGATGGAAGCGTTCCGGTGACAGATCTCATGACAAACACTCCCTATTGGCTGAAAGGATTCAAAGGCAACGAAATGCAAATGTCTATCAGAAAGAGAGAGGCCTATAAGTACTGGAAGTGGTGTCGGCCTAAGAAGTGGAATGAATTAAACCTCAGAATTGGTTTCCTTTACCGGAGACTCAATTACAAGAAAGCGCCGCCAAAACCATTATATCCATAATCTCTCTCTCTCTCTCTCTCTCTCTCTCTCTTTCTGATAGACATTTGCATTTCGTTGCCTTTGAATCCTTTCAGCCAATAGGGAGTGTTTGTCATGAGATCTGTCACCGGAACGCTTCCATCGCC